CTGGAGGTCAGTCACGTTGGTCAGAGCTGAGATGTCAGTTTCCCAGGCATTTGGCCTGGACTGGTCAGGGCAGGAGCAGGCCTGCAGGCTCACTGGGGTTGTAACTGGGAGTCAGAGAGAGAAGCTGGGAGTTCCCTGGCTGGGAGGACATCAACTATGAGTTAAGGGAGAGCCGGACACTGTGTGGAGGGAGGTCAGTGATTGGATGGTGGGGTGAATCGAGGTCAGAGTCTGGCTTTCCAAGAACAAGGCGACCCGGGGACATCTGTTTTCATTCACGGCCTGAGCAGAGCTGGGCTGCGGTTCTTAAGGCTGATTGTGCAATGGCGGGCCTTTCCCACCAACCTTCCCTGCTCCTCCAGAGGACACAGGGAGGAGGGAACTGCCGAGAACGGCACCTCCCATGTGCCCAGAAGGCTTATCTGTCCATTTAGTCAATCCCTCCCGCCCAGCTTATTGGCTCAGAGAGTGCAAAGTCTTGCCTGAAGTCACACAGCAGTACTGGACCCAGAGCTGTCTTCTCCCACAGGCACAGCAGGCACAGTGCCCAGGGCCCACAAGACTAGTAGGGGCTTCGGAAAGTGTTTTTATTTCTCTTAAAATAAGAAGAAAAAACATAATTCAGCTTGTTTTATCACCAGAAAGGAGACTTGGCCCTTAGCGGGTCTGCCTAGGGCCTGTGGCGGTGTGTGGGTTCTTAACTTTATGCAGGAAAAATTTCACAATGCAAGTCCGGGTGATTTGAGAGTACGGTTATTAGAGCGTAACAAGGAAGTGGACAGTGGAACAAGGAAGGGCTTAGGATAGAACAGTGGTCGGCAAACTGCGGCTCTCGAGCCACATTCGGCTCTTTGGCCCCTTGAGTGTGGCTCTTCCACAAAATACCAACTTCTGCGCATGGGCCACGAAGTTTCAATCACACTTACGTGCGCGCCCGCACGTGGTATTTTGTGGAAGAGCCACACTCAAGGGGCCAAAGAGCCGCATGTGGCTCGCGAGCCGCAGTTTGCTGACCACTGGGAAGCAACAGGAGAGAGCCTGGGCAGGGCTGCTTGGGCTCACTGAGAAACAAAAGTACAGTAACAGAAGTGAGCCAAGGAGGAGGAAAGTCAGAGAAAAGGGAGCCTTGGAGACAGGGTCAGGGGTGAGCCTGCTGCCCAGCGCTCCCCTGGTTGCAAGTCTTGTGGGGCCCTCGGAGCTTAGGAGATGCATGCCTGTGGGGGCAGAGGAGGGGGCGGGAAAGGCTCAGGCTGCTCCCTGCAGGGAGATGGAGCACAGGTCCTTTGTTTCCTTTTGGTGAGGGGTTTTAAAGGCTGGGAACTTGGGGGAAATTTCAATAGAATATTCCTCAGGTGTCCCGGGCGTGTCCTTTCAGGGTCCTGGGCTCCACTGACTGTCAGTGCCAGGGCAGGGGGTCATGCCAGTAAGTTGCCATTTGGTTTTGCTGCTTTTCTGAGCCTGGAGCTGAAATACAACTGAGGCCTTGATGACATGTCTAGGGAGGAAAGGTCAGGAGGTCCAAGCCTCATGAGCAGCGATATGCCGGGGGCAGAAAGGCCACCCTGCGAGGCAGGTCCAGCACCAGTTTTGCCCATTGCTAGGCACCGGGGCTTCCCGCCCTGGAGACCCTCTGTATGTGGCTGTAAATTGTTCAGCCGTCTGTCTCAGTTTCCTCATTCCACTTGCCGAGGAATTTTCCTGGCTTCTTACTATTCTGCCTCAGTCTTACTTTTTTAAGAATTGATTTCAGAGAGGAAGGGAGAGGGAGAGAGAAAAACATCAATGATGAGAAAGAATCATTGATTGGCTGCCTCCTATTAGGGATCGAGCCCACAACCGGGGCATGTGCCCTGACCAGGAATAGAACCGTGACCGCCTGGTTCAGCAGTAGATGCTCAACCACTGAACCACACTGGCCAGGCTTAATTTTGTCTTTTTATCAATGAACTATAATCAATCATTTAAAAATATTGTGTAATATTTTGTAATGGAGGAAGGAGTCCAGGTGGGCAGAAGTGCCGAGGGCCTGTAAAAAGAAGTGGCTCAGTTTGGATGGTGGTGCTACCGAGCCACTTGAGTAAGACCCATATCTAGGGTTAGCGGGCCTGCCTCCCTCACACTCCCCCACAGCGGGGTGTTCCACCCTGGTCTGTCGGAATCTAAAACCCATTCTCTTTTCAGCCTGGTCCTTCAGTTCTCAGGTCTGCACCTCCCCAGGGAGACCTCTTTTGGCCTCCTGACTAGGTCCACTCCCCCCTTATATGTCCTTGTTGGAACTCAGCTGCCCTGAGGACTCATGGTGTGATGACTTTGAGCACAGGTTCTGAAAGCGGAGGTCTGGGTTTGAATCCCAGCTCTGCCAATTATCAGCTTTGCAATTGGGCAGGTTGTTCATCTCTCTGACCCTCAGTTTCCCTGAAATAGGGTAATTAGAGTATCTACCTAACAGAGTTGTGATAGGTTAGATAATTGAATATTTTTCAAGCACTCAAAACTGTGCCTGGCACCGAAAAAGTGCCATCTAAATATTTATTAAACACATTTGAAGCCCCATCAGTGCAGAGGCTGGGCCTGGTTTTGCTCTCTCTGGTATCTCCAGGCCTTGCACATAGTAGGCATTCAAATGTTGGAATGAACGAATAAATGAGTGTACGCTGGTCCTCCTTCTTTTGTCTGTATGTTTCTTTCTGCTGGAAGTCATTCACACCTTAGTGTGAACTATGAGTCGATGCCACCCTGCCCCTTTCCTAGAGCACCATGGGAGAAAATGATTCGCCTTCCTGGGGAAGGAGCATAAAGCCTTAGCGATCAGGTGGGGAGTTTCACAAGAGTGGAGGGGCAGGCTTTATTCTCAGGACCTGTAACTGAGCCATGTCCTCTGCTCCGTGGAGTGAAGCCCTAAGCATTGTGCCCTTTACGTTTTTCAAGGAGACATTTCCTCCCCATTTCAGAGGGCAAGACCCTTGGGCAGGCAGCAGCTGTCAGACCCCAGCAGGCAGGCCTCACCAGCAGACCCCCCAGGGCAGAGGAGATGAAAGGCCTCGCCAGCCCAAGGCTTTCCCAGAGGAAACCTCGCCCACAGATCTGCAGGAAGCCACATTCACGGGAGGCCAGCCCGCTAAGCTTGGGATCAAGCCCAGGTCACCAGAGCTCAGATAAAATGGGACTTCTGCTACTGGGAACATGTAGTTCTGAGGCCTGGCAGGAACCTGGGAGGAGCTGCTGGCCCTGAAGTTTGGCCCTGAAATCGTGCTGGGCCCCAGGCTGGGGCTGCTCATTCGGCCCCTGCTGGGAACCCAGGCTGGCTGTCTGACCCGATCCCACTGGTCCCTGATCAGAGGAAAGTGGCTGCGTTCCCCGGTAAATTGGTAAATTTGTTCCGGGGAGTCCTGGGGTGTTAATGTCTCCTCTCAGAGCTTTTTCATTTTCCACATAAAACCTGTAGTGCTGCCGTGTTCCTGGAGAAGTCACCCTTGCTGTCCTCAGAACTTGGAAGGCTCATTTTTATAAGTTAATGTTTGCAAGAAATTAACTGATGGGTCACTGCTTGGCGCCTGGGTCCGTGTGGTCCAAATACTGCTGCAGAACTGACATCTCAATTGAAGAACATTTATTGGGCACCTACTGTATTCCACGCCCTGTGCCATGCACTGAGGAAAGCCAGTGCATCTAGTCAGTAAGTGTTGATGTGGGCCAGGCACTGTGGAAGGCGGCCATGCACTGAGGAAAGCCAGTGCATCTAGTCAGTAATTACTGAGTGCTGATGCGGGCCAGGCCCTGTGGAAGGCACAGGGGTGCAGGCAATAAGGCACAGATACTTGACCTTGTAGAGCCAACCCCCCACTCCGGGGTGCATGAGCTTCCTACTGCCACTGTAACACATAACCACACACTAGTGCCCAGTGAAGGAACTGAGAGGCAGCGGCCGAAGAGGATGTCCCAGCATCACAGACGGAAGCTGAGCGGGGACCTGGCCCAGGTGCATCTAAGTCTGGAGCTTGGGTCCCTTCCACTTCCCCGGGGGGTGTGTCGTGGTGGTCAGACGGGGCTGGGGTTGAGCCCCAGCTCTGCTATCTGCCTGACCTCAGGCAAGTATTAGACGGCTGCCTCCCATCAGTGACTCGGGCATCCAAATAGTACCTGTCTTGGGGTTGCTGTGAACAGGGGATGGAAGACAAGGCTTGTGAAATATTGATCCCTGTATAGAACACACACGCGCTGACATGATAGCACACTGGGGATGTATGTGGAACGCTTCACACGCAGTTTCACTGAATTCTCCCAAGAAACACATGGTCACTGTTCACATGCCCACATCGGAGAGGAGGACACCCGGGTTCAAGGGCATGAGTCATCAGCCAGCCCCTGTTCAGCAATGTCTTCCAAAGAAGCTTCTCTGGGCAGACAGAGTTTGTCAGCCCAGCTCAAAATTTGGATGAGGTAGCAGCTGGAATCCCCACCCGTCCTACTGGGCTGCTTTCTCTGTGTGCCCGCCCCCACCCACCCCAGCCTCTGGCCTCGGAGCCAGCACACCACCTCTGGGAGAGACCGCCTCAGACGGCAAGGAAGTGCTCATATTCCAGAGTGACAGCGCCACTCCCGCCACGTCTC